CTCGTCATGAGTCACAATTTGCTACACAGCAAGAGCAGTACCACTCTCCTGAGTACCACTCGTACTCGTTTGATCTTCCTGCAAACATTGAGAAGTCTGTCCGAAAGATGGTACAGGAAGAAATGACCCAAAGAGTGAAAAGCTTAGAACAACGGTTGAAAAACATGCAAGGGTTGGAAGGTCAAATGAGTGTTGCCTTCAAAGATCTATGTATGTTCCCTGATGTCCACTTGCCGCCTCGTTTCAAGACTCCCAAATTTGAAAAGTATGATGGACATGAAGATCCTATAGCCCACCTGAAAAAGTATTGCAACCAATTGAGAGGTGCGGGAAGAAATGAAGAATTGTTGATGGCTTATTTTGGGGAAATCCTCACGGGAGTAGCCTCCGAATGGTTTATGGATCAAGACACGTCTCGTTGGTATGTGTGGGATGACATGGCACAAGCCTTTATCAAACAGTTCCAATACAACATTGACATTGCCCCAGACCGCAATTCTCTTTCAAACTTGAAGAATAGACCAACTGAAAGTTTCAGGGAATATGCCATTAAATAGAGAGAGCAAGCGGCTAGAGTTAAGCCACACATGGATGAGCATGAGTTAATCACTGTCTTCCTTCAGTCTCAAGAGCCAGATTATTTTCAAAACATGATATCCGCAGTGGGTAAATCCTTCTCGGAAGCAATCAAAATGGGGGAAATGATTAAGAATGGTCTTAAGACAGGAAAAACTATAAGTCAAGCAATTCTCAAAGCTGCAACTCAGGCTGTCCTGATTGAATCTGATAATTTTAGTGACTCGAATGAGAAGTACGAAGAAATCATGATGACATCAAGGTCGAGAAGAGGTCCTAGGAGAGCATCTCGAAGGTATGAGCAACCTCATCAGGTTTCCCATGATTCCCCTGAATACTATTATCCACTTCAGAACCCTCAATACTCTGTTGCTGCACCTCAGTATGTTGCTCGGCCACCAAGACACTCTAGAAGGCGAGCACCAGCACCGCAAAATATCCACCAGCCTCCACAAAATTTTCAAATGCCCTATAACCCACATCCAAGCCAGGGGTATAGAAGGGAACAAAGGCTGAAAGATAATTTTACACCAATAGAAGAGTCCTATGCAAGCTTATTTGAGAAGTTAAAGCATTATGACATGATTGCACCTATTCCTCCAAATTATGTGGACCCACGTGCAAGGAGCTTTGACCCTTCTAAAAGGTGTGAATACCATTCCAATGCCTAGGGGCACGATGTTGAAAGCTATTGAGATTTGAAAAGAGAAATAGAAAGGATGATCCAGGAAAAATTGATTGAAATTGGAGAAGACCCTGGTGATTCTGATGAGCATATGGGTGGTTAAATGTCAAGCTTGTCAATTGAAAAATCATTCTCTCCCCATTAGGAAGGAATCTTGGTAGCTTTGTTTTTGTTTTGATGTTTTTTCTATTATCTGGGTTATTTCAGGGTTATGATCCAGATTTTATTTGTTTTTATTGAGTCAAACCCTTCTATCCCTCTATTCTATTTGTGTGAGTCTTGTTTGTCTATGTTGTTGCTATTTTCATTAGCCGGGTTATTTTTGGATTCTAACTCGGATTTTAGGTTGTTTTTCTTATTTTTTACTCAATGAAATACAGTTTGTCCTTTATGTCTTTCCTTGTTTAGTTCCCTTCCTGCTAGTTTTAGTGACATGACATGCATGCGGAAATTTTGGCCAGATCTTAGAAACTGATTTAATCTGGAATTCGATAACTAAAAAAATATATATACTTTTGAGGATGAATAAAGAGTTGGAATACTTTGGAACTAAGGTCGAGTAAAATTCACCTTCAAATCATTGTGAAGATTGGGCCTGAGGATGTTTAATCAATTGATGTTTGTTGAAAAGTTTGTCATTAAGGGATGAAAAAATGTCTTGTCACCACGGCACACCAAGAAGACAGACATGTTCGTCAATGCTGTGATCGCGAAAAGATACCATGTTTGACGTTCTTGAGGTATGGAGGCCCTTTTTTTGCTACCCAAATACTTTATATCCTTTGTTACCCCTTTTGAGTTTGTGTTATTTTTCTTTGACTACCCTCTTTTGGAATCAAGTTTAGAGTAAAAAAAAAAGTCCATGCTCCAAGAGTATAAACTGGGGCAATTCTTAGAAAGTTCAAATGAAAAAAAAATGAAGAAGAAAAGAACTGTCAAAATTCCATGCCCTCAGTAGATAGAAGCTGGGGCAAACAAAAAAAAAGAGAAAAAAAAAGAAAAAAAAGAAGAAGAAAAGAAAAGGAAAAAGACAGAGGAAAGAAAGTTGAAAAATAGTTAGGTCAAATGTTTGAACTACGTTAGACCTGATTCCTTTAAAATAAGGATACGTAGGCAGCCTCACGGTTCAGTCCAACCAAATAAGAATTTAGAAGAAAAAGAAAAAAATATAAAAAAAAAAGAGAAAAATCCAAAAATCCTCAGCATCTGAAACTGGGGCAAAGATTTTATTTCATTTTTGAAAGAGTCAATTCTAAGAGTTGTAAGTCTACAACCCCTCATTTGAGTTTATTTTGAGCCTTCACGCCGACCTTTCTTTCCAACCCTATACAAAAACCTTCCAAATAAAGACCTCCCGATATGCCTTCAAAAATGCCAAGAGGAGCATGCAATGAGCAACGGTTGTCACACGACATATAACACTGTCAAGTTACTCACAAAAAGTAAGAAAAAGAAAAAGAAAAATGAGAGTCTTACTAGTGAAAACCCTAAACAGGCACTGTAAGGCGACGGTAAGTGGAGATAAATAAATGAGAGAGACTTGTTGGTGAAAATTCCTTGGGGCACCATTAGTCTTAAGTGAGTCGTGAAGCTGATGCAAAGGATTGGCACGGATAGGCCGGACTTCAAAGATCATAAGAATGGTAAAAGGGAGGATTGGATTAGTTTGATAGATCAGGCCGTTGAGTCCAAAATGCATGTCATGATCATTAAGGCTAGTTATTGAAAAGAAAAAAGAAAAAAATTCTTCCTTCTATCCTTCCGACAGGGGCATTTCTTGTTAATATTTGTTTCTTTGCGTCATCGTGTCCTTCACCCTGAGTTAGTCCTTCTCAAAACAAGGAAAAGATTTCAAAATCTGCTACCAGCTTTTCAGTTGTACAAAGTAAATTTGGCCAGCAAACTCAGTTGTTAATGTCAACATGCCTTGAGGATTCATACAAAGGCTCCCCCAAAAGACTCTTGTCAGCCTGCTTGGCGCAAACAAAGATAACTTGTGATTCTCTCTGACAGACAAATTGCTCAAAATTAGGAAGTCATTCAAGATATCAGAAAAGGTCATCTAAGAAAAGATCTCCAGTTGGGATAATGCTGATTGAGCCAGAAATATAATGGTATCGGGTGTGAAACAATTAGGGTTGATTCAGAGCAAAAATCTCTTGAAGCCGACTCAAGCTGATTGAGCAGAAGGCAAGCTTCCCAAGACTCAAGGCCACAAACCGACCACCATTTATAAAACTGAAAATTTTTTCTTTGTATGAAATAGGAATAAAGCAGTGCAGGGAAAGTGATTCAAAAAGAGAAAAAATATGAAAAAAGAAAAAAAACAAAAAAAAAAAGAAGGAGAAAAGACGAGAAGAGCTGACAAAGGGAAGTTTCTCAAATCTTGGCCTTTATTTGTCTTGCTATTGTGCATAAAATCTTGCCATTTATCTTCACATTTTTCCTCCTAGGATAAAAAGTCCTAGTCTGATGGATTTTCCTCCCAATCAAAATCCTAGTCTGATGAACTTTCTCCTAGGATAGAAATCTTAGTCTGATGAATCTTTCTCCTAAGGTATCAAAAAAAAAAGATAAGAAAAGAGACCTAGTCTGATGAACTTTTCTCCTATGATCGAAATCTTAGTCTGATGAATTTTTCTCCTAAGATGGAAAACCTAGTTTGATGAACTTTATCCTAGGATCCAAATCTTAGTCTGATGAATTTTTCTCCTAAGACAGAATATCTAGTCTGATGAATTTTCTCATAGGATCAAAATCTTAGTCTGATGAATTTTTCTCCTAAGACAGAATATCTAGTCTGATGAATTTTCTCATAGGATCAAAATCTTAGTCTGATGAATTTTTCTCCTAAGATAACAGAAAATTACCTAGTCTGATGAATTTTCTCCTAGGATCCAAATCTTAGTCTGATGAATTTTTCTTCTAAGATAGAAAACCTAGTCTGGTGAATTTTCTCTTAGGATCAAAATCTTACTCTGATGAATCTTTCTCCTAAGATAGAGAACCTAGTTTGATGAACTTTCTCCTAGGAAAGAAATCTTAGTCTGATAAATCTTTCTCCTAAGATACCAAAAAAAGGAGAGAAAAAAAAAGACTTAGTCTGATGAATTTTCTCCTAGGATAAACGTCTTAGTTTGATGAATCTTTCTCCTAAGATAGAAAACCTAGTCTGACGAATTTTCTCCTAGGATAATTTGAAAAAAAAAGGAAGTCTGGACGTGAAAAAAATGGGGTCAATTTTTAGTTTTCTTAAGATTATCAATGTTTAGTTTTCCTGAAATCAGGGGGCCCCGCCTGGAGAATAGGGTCAGTCTTTACTTTAGTCAAGCTTAGTTTATAGTTTTCCTAGTCTATTCATTAGTTTACTCTCATTATTGCAATAATAGTACACGTGATTTACAATTTTGCTAACAACTCACAAATCTTCCTAGTGCAAACTGGGGCAGAAAAAATTTCTTTTGTTTTGTCTATTTTGTTGTAATCAGGCGCCCACCTGGAGAACAAGGGAAAACAACTCAAGTTTCACGGGAAAGCAGTTTCAATGGAAGTCAGTTCAAGTTTTAGCAATCAGGCGCCTACCTGGAGAACATGGAAGTTATTTTAGAATTCAATTCAAGTTAGAAGTAGCAGAAGCCCGTGGCAAGAATGCGAGTCAACAATCAGAGATGATCAACAGAATAAGTCTCAATCCAAAAAAAAGAAGAAAAAAGAAAAAAAAAGAAAAAAGAAAAAATAAGTGAATCCAAAGTGCAGAAGCGGAGAAAAGATGTGGACTACTCAAGACGTGATGGAAGTCACAAGCTTTGCATGTCCCCTCTTGATCCGAAAAAGCTGAAAGAGATTGAACCAATACCTGCAACTAACAAGCATCAAGATTCAGATCAGAGTCTGTAGGAAGAACCAGCCAAGACTCGAGATCAAGCTTTAAAAGATCATCATATTCAGTTGCTAGATGAGTACCCTATTACAGCTGGGGTGCTGCTGTTCTCGCCTACATGTATAGACAGATGTGTCGGGCGAGCATAGGCACTCAGAAAGATATTTGTGGTTTTCTGCCACTTCTATAGGTGACAACATATTTGAATAATCTGTTCATCAGTTCCAACTCTACCTAGTTAGAATTTATCTTAAACCTAACGTCAACTTTGTATGTTAGGTTTGGGCCTGGGAGCGGTTCTTGTAGTTTCAGCCACCTCTACCACAATTACCTCCTAATGTATCACCTCCGGAACTCCCTCTAGCCAGGAGGTGGGTTCTCCGCCGTACACTTTCACGAGAGTATGATGCTCATCATAATCTCCCCCTCGGCAGGGATGTGTTGGATCTGATGGAGGGCGTACAAGTAAATATTTACCTAAACTTACCTTGTATAGATTAACTTAGTTTTGTGAATACTCACGTTTTGTGTTCTTATTTGATAGTTCATCTGGATGCCATAGAGCGATGATTTGATAGCTGGCCTGCCAGCTTATTGCTGGGCCGGCCGACTGATTTAGAGCACTTCTGCCCTGCTCATATGCCTCGATATTGTGGAGCATCATGCCTCGGAGTGGGTACTTCGCCAGTTTGGCTACCCACAGTATATATTGAGGGGGCCTATATGGGAGCCTAGACATTATTAGAGGGATGACGTTCTAGGGCGGACGACGCATTTATGGCATGGTTAGCGGCGCAGATCTATATTTGGGACCAGCGAGATCAAATGATTCCGCCCCTACCTACACAGATCCAGGAGGTGGCTATTCAGAGGTATATGTCCTGGTACCGCCACGTTACCCGACTTTTTATAGGGAACCCTATTCATCAGACTGGTGGTCGGTACGTTCCATACGCCGGGCGACACCTGCGATCCTGCGGCTGCCTTGAAGGATTATAGTCGTCAATTTGTAGAGTTGGCTGCCCGGACACTACAGCAAGCCCGGGATGATCAGCGTTTGGCATAAATGCCTAATTTTGTGGAGCCAAAGCACTACAAGCGAGGCCCTGGTGTCGCACGAGGTGGTGGTGCCCGACGAGGTGGTGGTGCCCGACGAGGCAGGGGTGCCGGACAATGAGGCAGTGGGCGGAGAGGAGGTGGTCCCCAGCATGGGGGCATTGAGGTCCCTGCTGATGATGTTGCTGCTGATCTGCCGGGTGGCCTACATGAGACGGACATGCCGTCATACAGCCTTGGGATGGATCTCACTCTAGGGACTTCGCAGGTGACCCCGTCAGGTCAATTATTGATCATGGGCATAGACCTTTCTAGAGTGGATTGGGAGACATACTTTCCAGGCTCGTCTACTGTTGTTGAGGTTCGGCCGACCCGAGATTTACATAGTGGGTGCCGGTTGAGTTATGGTTCATCATTACAGGCGGAGGTATGGTTTTCTTAGTATTGAATTACAATTTGTCTTTATTTTCAATAACTTTATTAATTTCCTTTTTAAGGTTGAACGCAATGCTGATATGGCTGCGACAAATGATTACATTCAGGAGCCCGACGATATCGTGATAAGACAATTTAAATTGTTGTAACTTATTATATACTTTGTTATACTGAGCTTTCTATTCTTATTTTGGTTTCTACTGTACTGACGGCCCCTTTTACCGATCCTGTCAACACCATTGATGTTCATGATGCGGCGCATCCGGCTATTAGAACGCGACTTGATGATGACGATCCCGATAGTGTACCCGGTGGGATGGGATGCGCCTCAGGCCAGCGGCCGCGTTGAAGCACACTGGATGCGGGACACATTGATTTTCTTTCCTTGTTTTTTGTATTTGATGTAAATAATAATTTTGTATATACATTAACAACAATTTTTATATAATATGTTCATTACTTTTTTAATTCTTTGTTCATTAATTAGTTTCGTACTACAACACAAACACAAGTATTACAACTTAAATTCCATTACAATTAATAAAAATAAAGTTTATTACAACTAATTTAGTTTAATACTACAACACAAACACAAACATAGCAACTTAACATAATTAAAATTTAATACAACTAATAAAAATACACGACACAAAAACGTAAAGATAAAGTGACACGGGAAACATAAAGATAAAGTGATACACTAAACACATACATGTCAATGTTTAGTCCATGTCGCGATTTATTCTCTGCTCCAACCACTTAATTTGTTCTTCCAGCTTATTTTTTTCTTCTTCTACCTCTTTTAGTTTCGCTTTCAACTCTGCAACCTCTCTTTTATGCTCTCTTTCACGTTCCCACTGTTTTAAACATAAATTATGAATATCGTTCAAAGATTCTTTGTAGTATTCTTGATAATAGAGTTCATCAACCCATACCTCAAAATCGCAAATAGGTTCGTCGGGAACCTTATAAAACTTGTTCAAACATTCCTAGTAGCAACGTCCAGCTTCACCATTATCCCAACAACTTTGCATCATGCATTTTTTCACACTTGCACCTTGGTACATAAAGAGTTTGAGACATTTGTGCGTTAAAAAAACTTGCTTTTAGTTATTGTTGAGCGCAGAAAATATCTAGAATGAGCCCGTTATTTATAGGCAAGACAACACACATAACATAGTATTTAACCATGCTATATATACACATAACGTAGTATTTAACCTCGCTATGCTTTGCGTGTTAAAGGTTCTGACGGGTATGAAACAGTTTTATGTCAGTTGGGCAGCTTTTTCAGTTCGATAAGACAATACACATAACGTAGTATTTATCCGCACTATATATACACGTAACGTAGTATTTAATCGCGCTATGCTTTGCGTGTTAAAGGTTCTGACGGGTACGAAATAGCTTTATGTCAGTTGGGCAGTTTTTTCAGTTCAACAAGACAACACACATAACGTAGTATTTATTCGCACTATATATACACGTAACGTAGTATTTAACCGTGCTATGCTTTGCGTGTTAAAGGTTCTGACGGGTACGAAATAGGTTTATGTCAGTTGGGCAGCTTTTTCAGTTCGATAAGACAACAGACATATATAAAATAACAAACATAACTAACATTAAATTAATCAGCTTTATGAAATTTCAATATTGTTTCCAGTTCTTCCGAATATATAATTTTTTTAAATTATCATTAAAAAATTGAAATGGAAAAGTTCAACTCATAATTAACAAAAAAAATTTATTTTATAAATCTTGCAACATAAACAAAACAACTAAATATTACAACATAAACTCATTGATAGTTAGACACATTAGAAGAACACCCACTACGAGCTTGTTTACTATTGCCACCCAAAGGACATTTCCGATGGACGTGTCCTGTTTGCGAGCATATATCACATATGTGCGCATAAACGGTATCACTAACATCCATTTGGTTCCATATACGCGTTCTCTTCTTTACCTGTATTCGATGCAAATAGGACTTGTTACACACCATTTTAAATGGTTCAGGTGGCCAATAATGCTCAGCACCCACTGGCTGCAATTGCCCACTATATGTGTTTAGGTACTTCGCAATACTATATTGTTGATCAACATAGTTGGTGTGAGCACGTGATTTTTGCTTCACGGAAATTACTCCAAAAGAAATCGAAAATAAAACAAGTTACCTTCGGGTACAATTTTGAGAATTTGCGTGACATTTTTGGTAATCATTTTTGTCCGTAAATGTTTACTTTTTTGTAGTTAATCGCGAAATATAAAATAAATATATTACATGCTTATTTAGGATTTAATTGTACATTTAGGAATTAATTGAATCATAGTTTGGTTTTTAAAGAAAAATCGCAAAAGTATGCTTTTCGTCTTATGTTTTGTTGTCATGGTGTGATTTTACCTATTTAAATATTTTAATATGTGTGTGATAATTGTGTTAAGTGTTAATTAATATGTGTTTAGTATTACTTTAATTAGGTATTGTGTTTTAAATTAGAAAATAAAAGAAAAGAGTGGAAATTGGTCTAAAAATCGGATTGGGCCAGTTTCTTTAGGAAAATTCGAGGCCCAAAAGCACCAAAACCAGCCCAAGGCAGCCGGTCCAAGAGACCCATCTCCCAGGCCACCAAACGACGTAGTTTGATACCAAAACTACGTCATTTCAAGAACAACCCATCTCAGCCGTTCAAACCAAGTTGATCTGACGGCCCTCGCCCATCTTCCTTACCCGTTACCTGACCCGACCCATTCCACCCAAAGACCAACCCGATCTCACTTAACCAAACGATATCGTTTTCTTTAAGTGAGAGATCTAGGCCGTTGATCTCGACTGATCTAACGCCTATGATCAAACGACCACCCCGGTATATAATCCCTCATCTCTCACCCCACACCCCCATAACCAACCCCCCCCT